AGAGGGCACTCTCAAGGCAACTCTCCTGTGGATAATAACAGCAGTTCTTGTTTTTATGCTTCCTTATGCTTTTCCAGTGATGCTCATCAAAGCAGATAAGCAAGTCCAAGGCATGAGAACGTGCATGAGAAAGTGCATGAGAAGTCCCCTCTTCCTCAAGGAGGGTGTTTGGTCCCGCAAAGCACCAAGCGCTTCGGATCCCACCAAGCTCCCAGGCAGCCTGGGCATGTTAACTTTACGTGACTGGAGCCACTGAAGCTGGTGGCCACAGAGTTTAGCTCTTTGCAGGATTGAGCTTCGTTGTGGGTAAAATCACTTGTAGTAGGTCTACTTGCTGAAAACTCTCCCTCCTGTACCAATACACAACTTAAAGGTCTCTGCGTTTCTGCTAAAAATATGACGGGCGTCATTTGCCCAGTTTTTCTGTCCACTTCTCTATTTATTTCACTCCCTGAATTTCATTGCTTTACATCCCTGTTAGACGTGAGAAAGGATGAAAATAAGAGGGAAAAGAAAAGAAAAAAGTCTTGAAACAACAGGACTGAAATGAAGAGGAAAATGACACCAGGAAAATCCCTGGTTCATCAAAACATTTAATGCATGTGGCTACCTTTAACCGCACATAAAGTCCTTAGGGTATTGGCTAACTTGACACGATAGACACTTATCAAAGTGCTTGGCTGAAACATGTCCGTGAAAGGAGGTGCAGCAGAAGAAAATGTAAATCCAATATATATGACCAAAATACAGTGCAGTTTTCTTCTTGTCAGTCTAGAGATTGGATTTGTTTCTAATGACTGGCACATAACATACATTTTTCCTTTATTTAGTTCTATGGGTATTTTTTATTTCCTTGGGGGGAAAAACACAGCAACAACAATGTGAGCTTGAATTCCAGCTGGTGAACTCAGATCAGTTCCACAGACCCCAAAATAGTTGGAGAGGTCGATGAAACCGCAGATTCCATGGGGTTTGTCCCTTTCTGAACACAGCTTTCTCAAGCCAAAGTCAAACTGCCCCACTGCTTACCCAAGTGATATTTATCAAATTTGTTACTAGCAAATGCTTGCAGGCAAAAAACAAACAAACAAACAAACAAAACCAACAGAGTGACAGCAGCAAGAGAAGCCCACGTCCTGCGCTAGCATCAGCGAATCAGTGCCCGTTTGCCCCCATCACTGTGGTATCAGAAAGAACAAAGACTTTCTGGGTCAAATTCTGCTCTCATTTTCATTGGAATAAATGATGCCACTAAAACTGAGAGAATTGTTGGCTGACGGACTGACCCGGTGGACTTAAGACAGAATTCAGGTCTCCTTGACCTAATCAGAATATAGGAGCTTGTCCCAGGCACATTGCTAAGGCATAACAGCTGACTGTTTAACCATATTGAGAAATAGAAAAATAGGCTCGGCTATCATTTTTCACCTAGCTCTGATTCAATCAGAGATACAAAACAAAGAAAAACACGGACGCTGGTTCTGGCTAGGTTTCTGAAATGTTGTTCGCACAATGTTTACCTCGAGAAAAATGATACTGCCAGTATCTTTGTACTTTATCTGTGGTGTTCTATCTCTTCACATACTTAAACTTATCATCACAGTTTCCAAGCATTCTCATCTAATTAATCAAAATTCTGCCCTTTTGTTTCCTAGATCATGAAGGAAGAACAGTAAATTAAAGATAGATATCAGCTGAGAATGGAAGCTGGGTTTCTACAAGGAGGACCTAATAATAGCACCGTGATGCAGCCGAGGGCAAAATTGATACAGGTTTTTATACACAGAAGCAAAAGGTTGAGTGTGAAGAAATTAAACATCAGCTAGCATTCAAACAGTGGTTTATCCAGCTCATTCGGTGTTTGTAAATATAGGAATGTGCTGTAGTGGCTAAATTTATCCTAATGTAAGGCAACATGAACAAAGAGACTGGTATTTGGCTGAGTAACTTCTACAGGCAGCGTTAGGACATCCTGTGTGAATTATTTTGGGGCAGTTCATGATAACATGGTACAGATTACAGTTACCATTTCTGGAAAAATTAGGTCAGAATTATGTAGATAAGACGGAAAGAATTTCAGCAGCATTGTATTATTTTCCTAACTTGAAACCTGACTCACATTTTGAAGCTTTGTTTTATTGTATACCTTGTTTTGGTATACAGTCAAAACAGTCTTTTTCCAGAGAAAATAAAAATGAACTGCCTGAGCAAGAAAGAATTACACATTGCATTGAATAAAAATAATTACAGCAAGTTTAATTCGGGGAAGAGAGAAGTTGTTTTCTCTGTTCTGCAAAACTGTTTGTAGTTTCAGAAATGCTCATGCTGAACCCATGCAAAATCGGAGGAGCAAAATACAGCTTAGTAACAGCTTGGTAACTGCTCAGCTCCTTGCTCTTAATCTGTGCTGGATCTTCAGCCATACCCCAGGTGTATTTTGGGACTGTTAGATTATAGCCACTGTGGAAAGTGGTGGCCCTCTTCTCCCCCTTCATCCTGCTCCTTTCCTCCTGGATTAGAAAAACTTTTCTCACTAAAAAAGAAAATAGATCATGACCATGAAAGGTTTACTTTTTATGAGAAAAACTGAGATTAGTTCTAGTTAAATGACTGAGAGCCTTGACTTTGCAGCGCTTCCCTCTACAGTCAGTGCAATGTTTCCATTGGCTTCAGGTAAAATTTTTTTCGCTCAGGTCATTTATTATAAGTAAGAATGTACTTTTATACTGCTCTATATCCAGTGCCATAAATCCTAGCACGTAACATGCCTCTCTTTTTTCACTGGGAGTTCTGGCCTGAGTTACTGAATCTCTTTCTGCATGGAGCGCACTTTGAGAAGGAGCAAACATTTCGGCCAGACCTGGTCCTTGTACGTGAGCCAGCCGCAAGATAAAATATTTTGTGTTCCCTTTTCCTTTTTCACTTAGACAAATTGACTTTTAAATTCTGGTTTTTCAGTCCAGCTCATTAATGCAAACCGGGGCAAGCTGCAGTTTACGTTCATACGCCAGAAGGGAACCTGCGCTGGGTCAGGGGCAGGCACGTATCCCCTTCCACCTTCCCCGCCGCGTGAGGCTGAACCCCAGGAGCGGGCTGGGAGGGTTGGGGCGGTTTGGCTGCTCCCGCTGCAGCCACCTGCGATGGCGCGTGGCCCTCGCGGCTGGCTCAGCGCAGCGGTGACACTCCCTGCTGTGGTGTCGCACCTCCCAAAGCACCCCAGCCCTCCCTTCCCGCTCTGAGCTTCGCTGCTTAGGCTTATCGTGGCATGGAGTGCTTAGTTTTACCTCCTCGCAGGGCTTTGGAAACTTTGCCTCTCCGAAAGGCCAGTGAGTGCCATTCGTTACACAAAAATGCATCTTGAGCAAGCAGCAGGGGCCTGTTTGGGAAGGAAGGAGGAAAGGAAGGAGGGAAGGATGAAAGCCTGCTTTAGAGTCCAGCTGTGAGCAAAGAAAACCTTAGAAGGAATAGATTTATTTTTATGACGTTGCTTCAGTAAATCTTTGGTCAGATAGCCCCAAATTTGGGCTACTAACGCTTTCTCGGGGTCCGAGGAAGATCAGAAAGGTTCAAAGCCCGCCCGTAACAAGGTTTAGCCCAGCCACCTGTGCAATGAAGTTTGTCAGCCTTAATCAGGGTGCAGCTGCTGTTGCAGGGCTCCTCCGGTCCCTGAGTGCCTCCTCTCCTTTCCCACTCCCTGGGGAGATGAAATATGAGTGACTCGATAGGTAGATGGGATGTGCGGTCCCCCCTTCCCTGGCAGCGGTGCCCTGTGCACCCACGTCACTTCAGCATGGTAAGAGGCAGAGCCTGGTGTAGTGGTTTGTTTATTCTCTCGGCTAAAGGCAATCACTGGGGGAGGAAGAAACAAAAAAGCAGGGAGCTTTAATGAGGTCTCCTCACACCTGACAGAGGTCACTGAAGCCACGTCTGTCCAAAGAAGCTAGCGGTGCTGCTGTATTTACGGTGCAGAGATCAAAGGACAATGCCAGCTGGGGCCTGATCCTCCCCTGCAAAAGCGCAGGGATTTGTGATTGCTTTGCACTGCGTAGGGCTGAGTCTCCTCCCCGACCTCAGCTGCCAACACTGCCATCTCTTGACTGAATTATCACCCCAAAACATAACAAAGCAGCAGGAAGGAAACGCAATATATACTTTAGCTTGCAAGTGTTTAGGCAGGAAAATTGCTGCAAACAAATGAAAACAGTTTAAGAAATTGTTAACAGTGACTGCAATCAGTTTCTCTAAGTGCCTCATCCCATGTATCGTATCTGTTTGTAAAAGGTTGTTTTAAAGAAAGAAACAAAACTCAGTTTTAACTGAAAAGCATAGGCTACCTCTGTCTTTTCCTACAGGATCTCAGATGATCAAATCCACTTATTTGCTGTAAGCATCTTTCCAGCTGCAACTACATTAGGCAAAAAAACATTTAGAGACATGCAACATTTAACTACTGCTCTATTTTTCCTCTCTGGTTTGCACCAGGCTCTATTGATGTCTCTAGCTTTAGTGGGAATAGGCCGAGACTTTTGGGATAGCACGATAACAAGTAAAGAACGTAACAGTGCCTAGTCTAATATAGCCCATGAAGCATCCACAGCATGCATTTTCTCCTCTGTTTCACACGTATTCAGTCCCTCGTTAGTCATCCTCAGCCACATTTTAAATGGTATGGCCAATCCAACATCAGCGTTTTTGATCTGGTATTACAAACTCTAGCTATATGACAGAGTACTGCTCCAGTTATGAAGAAATTTGAACTGGCCAAATGAATTTAAGACGTTTTTATGAGCAAGCTTTACGCTAGAACAGGTATTTTCTGTTCTCCCACATCTGGCATAGACGCACCATAAGCTTTGTATGTTGCTATTGGGCTAATTTGACACAAAGGCAGTCATGTGCACACACTTCATCTAGGTCAGCCTTGTACATGGGACAATCTACCTACATGATCACAGAACCACAGCCTAAATAAAAACAGTACATATTAAAAAACAAACTAATACAGTAATTAAAAATATTTATTTCTGAAGATGTTTACCTTGATAGGCATAAAGCATTTCCCAATTTCATACAGAAATACATAAAACATGCATAGACCAATATGGCCTACTTCAATGTGTATTCAACATGGTAAATATAATGAAGAATTTGTGTGAATATAAATACAAAACACATACAAATCAAGCACATCATTGAATTCAATCAATCAAACCTGTCAGCAAATTCAACAATGTGAACAAATTCACTGCTATAAACATTCACCCAATATTAGCCTTTTGACATAAATTAAAATAACCCTTTGTCTCTACAGATTTACACCAAACAAGGCACTGAATAAATCTCACAACAGTATCTGGTGCAGCTCTGCTTCAGTGCGTTTCTGATTGCATGTAAGACAAAACAACCTCTATTATTAGAGCTTCAGCTAGCCAAATCTCTTTGTTATGTGAAACCTAGTAGTGTCCTCTAACTCTTATTCTATGTTGAACAGTCCTTTGATATCCAAAACTTTGATTATCCAGACAAGCACAGCATGGGTGTAAACCCACATTCAGATATCTCTGGTTGTACAAGTAAACTAGACTTCTGAAAAAAGGCAAAGGGTTGCAGCTGATTAGTAAAGGCAATAACAAGGTGTAAAAATACTCTAGCAGGAGTGCAACAAACAATACGCGAGGTAGACATGTATATATGCAGCAAGTCCTGATTAAAGTAGCACGGTGGCTTTCATTTTGCATTTTAATCAAAAAATAGAGTCTTTGAAGTCTGTCCATTCAGATCTTGCTTTCTGTCCTTTCTAAGCACATCTGTAAAGTCTTCCCTGCAAAACGCTTTTGAGGTCAGCCCTGGAAACTGCTGAATTGATCGGTAACATTCCTGAAGCAATAATCAAATGTTTCTTCAGAAAGAGGGCTTCTAATATAGGCTACTGTGCACGTCCCTTCACCTCCCTCTACCCATCCATCTGGATTCCAAAAGGATGAAATCCTAGAGTTGTATTGCTTTTACACCTCCAAATACAGGACTTCTTTCGTGTTTTGTTCTGCTGCATGACCACCTGGACAGAGAGGCGCTTTGTCATCATGGAATGTTAGAAGTCGAAACAGAGTTTTGGTGACACTTTGTCAGAAAGTGTGATGATGAACGATTCAGATGATCTTCCCACTAGGATGTTTTTAGGCTTTCCCAGATGCTCTGTCTTTTATTCGCCCTGTTATGTTTCAGCTTCCTCCCTTTCTGGAGCTCAGCCTTCAGCTTTGCAATACTGAAGGAAGCTTTGATACTGTTACCAATGGCCTCTAGCCTGCAGAAATAAGAAATACACCCTTATTGTTACAATAATGAAGATGCATCTCAAGTGTGCAAACGTTCAGCCCTTTGATTAAATAAGTCAGTCTAGACTTCTGCCATGGGATCCTCAGAAACCACTGACTGCTACACATCTATCAGAATTACGCTCAGTTAAGCCACTCAAAATATTGCATCCGAAATTTTTAAATTCAAACATTAAAGTAAGTTAAAATGTTCAAATACAGCTGCCCCAACCTTCCTTAAATGGCATGTATCCAACAAAAAGGTCTTCTCTGTTTTTAATCTCATTGGCTATTTCATTTCTTTTAGGTAAAACTCATCTTGCTTCCAAGGAAAGGGTGCATTTTTCAAAAAGTAACTCCCATTTTCAAAAATGATTTTAGACCTCCAGGGCCTAAATCTCACCGGAAATCATCAGGTTGCCTGGTCCTATAAGTCCTACTTTCAAAAGCAAAACAGGATCTAAGAGCCTACTTTTGTATTTGTGCAAAATTTCCTAATGGGCATACAGCTGACAAGGGAGTTGACATAATCGTGCTAACACCTAGCTTCAAAGCTGAGTTCACCACGGGGGGCGGTTCCTAGATGCACAGAGTCCAATACATACACCTCTGAACAGCACTGAAAAGTGATATTGTTTCCTACTGCCACTCAACATATTACACATAGATCTCAAAGGGCAGTTGTGATTTTAATTTAGTCTTAGTCTCAGGTATTGGATTAGCCTCAAATATTAATTTAATCTTCATTTTCACCTTCCTCAACCTTTTTGCAGTCGTTTCCATTGCTAGCATCCTGTATGCATTTACACAGGTTTATCTGACAATGTAAGGGATTAGGCAAGAAATCTGTTTTGCTGCATTCTAAAAGCCAGCTACACCAGCCAGAAGAAATCATATGTTTAAGATCCAGATAGGTCAGTAACTTTTCTTTCCAGAAAAATGCATTAAAGCACCTAAGAAAAGGCATGCTGACTCAATTTTGTTTTAGAAGAATAATTGAGACATAGTAAGTAATTGAGATAACACATGAACACACTAAGATGTCAGGCTCTGCTTCCTTCTGTCAGGATTTAATGATTTCATACTCTTAAGCTTGGTATCCCTTTAGGCCTGAGAGTAAGTCTGTTTCCTCTAAGCAAGTGGATGACATGTATGACACTAAGTGGATGACACTAGGCAGAGCTCGCCCTTGTCTTAACAACTTCACAACAACAACAACAAAAAAGAAACCAACACAACAACCCTCAGCAATTCCTCCAAAATACTTGAGCTGAAATCACCAGCTAAGTTCATGTTGACCCAAAGGGAGAACCACGCTCTCTATTGCTACTCTGGGGAATGACAGCAGGATGAGAGGAAACTCACCTCTTCATTTTCTTGCTGCCAACAAACTGTTGGTTCATACATTTTGGTCCAAGGCAATTGCCACCTTTGTTGCGGTGACGCAAGCTTTTCTCCATTGTGGACTGAGCCCTGTAAAAGCGATAAAAGACGGTCGTTAAAAAACAAAACAAAATTCTGTAGTCCACAAGGAGATGCATCTAATCTATCACTTTGCAAGGCATGCAATAAGCAATCCTTCTGGGCCAAACCGTGGTATGTGTTATAGCAGTATGAGCAGCGAGGTAGGCGGTAAGGCTTTGGGAAGATTATTCACACAGCAAGTGCCAAAACGAGTAAGAGTACCACAATCTGGCCCTTTCACATGCACATGTCTTTTAAAGAGCCATAACAATGAACGCACCAGTGTTCTTTTCCTGTCTGGCAGAAACTCAGACATTTCTTGTCTTTCTGGTTGGCACACTGACATCTGCTGCTAGGTTCAGTGAGCATCTCAGGCATTATGTCCTTCAGTGATCTTCTGGATCGAGAAGGGCCTCCAAGGCCATAAGGAACGGTCTTCCTATGATCAAAGAGTCAACATGAGTACAATTCAAATAATCTTGTGGCTTCAGAGCAGCAGGGTATTGTGGGCAGCCTTATCAATGGGGTTGATTGCATGAGTAAAGCTTATGGGATCAGGGATGCTTTGCGGGTCATAATTTCCAAGCAAGTGCTTCTGATGCTCCTGCAACATACTAATTAGCATGGCTACTGACAAGGCTAATGACTTTTAAATTGTGATTTCATGAGCCTGGTATGCCTCCATATGCAACAGAATGCAATAAAACCTCCTCTCTTTGAACTCTGATAACTGAAAAAAGTAATAAAAGTGAGGAACAGATCACCTCCAGTCACAGAAAATTCAGCAATAGAACAGATCACCGAAGGCAGCGTATGCAGTGTCAGCTGAGGTTCTGGCTAATTGCACTTTTTGGTGAGGACATTGCAGAAACAGGCATTGACACTGTACCCATCTCTGCTTAAACACGAGATGTGTTAATTTGCAGTGGTCAGCAGTAGCAAGAGGTAGCAAGGAGCCACCTCATGCCAAAGGAAGCCCTTCAGCCTCCTGACTTGTTGGGAGAATAGTTATGCAAAGTCAAGCTGGCAAAAATCACGCTCTTAGCGTTTTGTTCACCTCTGATTCATAGCAAAGAGTATCCTACAGCCTTTGCAGGGCAGCACCCAAAGGAAAGCCTCTTGCCTACGCTTCAGGAACGCAGGTGTGTTAGGGCTATTAAGAGTTATCTGCTCAATCTCGCTGGCCAAATCCTGCCTGCTTTCTCCCAGCAGACAGTCCATTAAACTCAACAGGAAAAGAGGAGCAGGGAAAGCAGTAGGAGTGACCACGTACACAAAAAAAAAAAAAGAAAAAAAGAAAAAATATACACATATATATTCCTTACTCCCTTCCTAATCTCTGCGAGGGAGTTTGTGGTTTAGAAGCTCCCCCCTCCCTCGTTCCCCGTTTTTCGGGCCAAAGCCCACCGCTGCGTAAGTGCCGGAGGGGTTGCCCCCCTCGCCCACTCACTCGGGGGTGTTGATCCAGATGATGTCGAGGTGGCAGAAGTAGACGCACTCCTCGTCGAGCAGCGAGGAGCAGGAGCAGCGGCGGGCGCGGCGGTGCGCGGTGGCGGCGGGGGGCGGCGCGGCGGCGGCTCCGG